CATTAACATTTGTCTTATGTACATGCAGCAACTTGGTGAGGAGGGAGGTCATGACCTCACATTCATATTGTCTACTACATTAACATTTGTCTTATGTACATGCAGCAACTTGGTGAGGAGGGAGGTCATGACCTCACATTCATTTTGTCTACTACATTAACATTTGTCTTATGTACATGCAGCAACTTGGTGAGGAGGGAGGTCATGACCTCACAATTATAAGGGACTTACATTTTTTAACAGGTACGTATGCATAAGAACAGATCAACTCATGATAATTTAAGTATCAAAAGAGAAGGAAAAAATAATAACCTAAAGCAATAATGAATTATCTCTCTATTTTACAGTTGATATTTTTTTAACATTTGAATTTGATCAGCTTTTATAACTTGAATTTATAATTTGTGTAAAATCTGCTGGTCTCAAAACGTCAAGTGGCCAGGAATTATCTCCAAGTCTGGGGACAATGCAAATGACATATTTTTCCTGTTTGCTTCTGAGAAATAGTTTAGTGGATGTCTTGTGTTTCAATTGTTCTAGTTTTAAAATGTTATTCTTACTAAGACAATAGTTGTCTTTGTGCTGTAAAGTGAATATGTACATTGTAAGAAAGAGAAACCAACAAACAAAGAAAGAAAGGAACAAACCAAAACTAAAAATCCATTTCTTTGGATCAATCAAAGAGTATTGTCTTATCCTAATATTTGGATGGACTAGGAGCTGCTCTCTTCACGCCCCACACGCCAGTCCTACAAACACTGAAAGAAAGAAGCGAAGGTAACCAGTCCTACCCTGATAGCGCCCACTTGTTGGTGGCCATTCATCATTCAGAAATACTTAATGTACTATACAGCTTATTTCAGGGATTGTCTTACTATAAACATCTACACCTACTCCTTGTCCTGTCAGTTTAATTTAATATGCCTTTTAATATGCCCAGTAGGAATTCGGTACAGATTTCTTTGATAAAAAGCCACTCATTTTCAAGCAATCCCGCTATAACGCATGCCCTAACATAAGACTCGTTAGCATTGATGACAAGACTATGTTTGAGTAGACAGTGCATCGAGTTAAGCTGTCGTTCGGTTTAATGACTTGGCGACGTAGATCAAGACAGCCTCACGCGGGGTGTGATGACACTTGTGGGGGCGAGGATTATTCAAGTGCCTCACCATTTTCAAAGGTTCTAGCACCTGAATCTCTATACCCCTCTTTATCTCAAAAGAGAAATAAAAAATGAGATGAAGGAGAGATATCTGCAAGAGCCCTGCTTCCTACGGTTGATGTGAATCGATGAATTCAATTTGTCAACTTTCAACTAATTTAAATGACCGGTGGTACCAACTCTCGAGGAGTTATTGTGGCAAATCAAAATGGTTGTGACAACAACACAAAAGAACACAAGACGTGTCAACATAATAAAAATAACTTAATACAAGCACTCCTGGCTCAAGAAATGGAGGAATAAGTTGAAATCATCTTCAGTTTTTTTTTCTTTTTTCGTGTTGGGGTGGGAGGGTGAGGGGTGGGGTGTTAAAGTTGTTTTTTTAATTCGTTAAAACACTGTGTTTTATGACTTGAGAGTCCCTGGCATTCCGCAGGGTGCAGCAATTAGCTGGATTCATTGTCCCGAAAGCTATTGTCGTTGTAGAGACTGGCGGACTCGTACACCCGTGACACATACTGACATCGGGGCAATCTTCAAATTCGTGTGCGTCTTTAACTTAAAGTTCTTCTTCCTGACTCTCAGGTGACCCGCCCTTTCCTTGACCAGCCCTTTCCTTCTCGCCACTCGCTACCATATCCCTGACGTCCTCATCCTGCCTCTCATCTGACCAGCCCTTTCCTTCTCGCCACTCGCTACCATATCCCTGACGTCCTCATCCTGCCTCTCATCTGACCAGCCCTTTCCTTCTCGCCACTCGCTACCATATCCCTGACGTCCTCATCCTGCCTCTCATCTGACCAGCCCTTTCCTTCTCGCCACTCGCTACCATATCCCTGACGTCCTCATCCTGCCTCTCATCTGACCAGCCCTTTCCTTGACCAGCCCTTGCCTTCTCGCCACTCGCTACCATATCCCTGACGTCCTCATCCTGGCTCTGATCTGACCAGCCCTTTCCTTCTCGCCACCCACTACCATATCCCTGACGTCCACATCCTGCCTCTCATCTGACCAGCCCTTTCCTTGACCAGCCCTTTCCTTCTCGCCACCCGCTACCATATCCCTGACGTCCTCATCCTGTCTCTCATCTGACCAGCCCTTTCCTTGACCAGCCCTTTCCTTCTCGCCACCCACTACCATATCCCTGACGTCCTCATCCTGCCTCTCATGTGACCAGCCCTTTCCTTGACCAGCCCTTTCCTTCTCGCCACCTGCTACCATATCCCTGACGTCCTTATCTTTGTCTGCATTTTTGTTAATCCCTAAAATTGGTCAGTAGGTTTGAAGATTTCACTCAACTCAATTGATCATACAAAATCCTTAAGCAGTCCACCCCACAACTCCCCTCCCACACCCCAAAAATTGTTTATTATTTTTAAGTCAACTGTTCTTGGTCGATCGGCATTAAGATGCTAATTAAATATTTAGCAGGCGGAACACTAGGGGCACGTGCATGTCTTAATAAAACTCTTCAATAAAAGACTCATATTCCTGAAAGAAATCGATTTTATGCAAATTACTATTGTATATATTTCATTTTTTACTGTCAGATTGGAAAATACAAGATTAGATACGAAATTTGGCTACAGAAAACAATGTGTCCCATTTTGAAACTTTAACATTTTCTTTAACTGAGAACCACTGACAGATGAATTAAGGACCACGTAATTTGTGTAACAAAAACAACAAGCACTCTGTAACCAGAACACTAGACACCGGGCACTGAGAACCACTGGCACCATGCTCTGAGAACCACTCGCACCATGCTCTGAGAACCATTGGCACTACTCCTGCTATCCGTTTGCAAGAGACATACTACAAGAGTTCTTTCCCCGCATACCGATTAAGATCTTCCAACATTTTGTGTAAGTACAACAAGAAGCAGGTCTATACGCTACTGGATAAACTACTTCACCCAACTTCAGCCTAAATAACACTAAGGTGTTAGCAGACTTTCTAAACTGGTGTTTCCCCGTGCCCAGGCGAACTATGAGACGAAATTTTGTGAGACCCACTTTTAATGTATCTGTGAAATACTCTTGAGGCCAAGTGATCCTGTGGTGAAGTGGGCTTTTGTGTTGGTCTGTCTAAGAGTGATTTGTACAGGTATCATCAAACATTGTACGTCAATTGTCTTTTATTTTAAACTAGCGAGTGTCCGGCATGCGTTGCAATGCCTCTCAAAGAAAGAAAGTGTTTGCATTTTAATTATGTCTCTTCAAGAGCTTTTAAATACATAAAGTTTTTCTTTCTTTTTCCGTCTGGTACATACACGAATAAATCAGAAGGTTTTCCGACGCGAGAGCAGGCCACATACATCTGTCCATGGGAGTGGGATGGGTTTTACACATTTAGTTCGCAAACTTGTAGCGATTGTCCCTGTGCTTTGTAGATGGTCATTGCAAACGCTGTCGCACCGTAAAATGCAGACGTTTCAATTCAAATGGCATCATTGGGATGCGTGACAACAGTACATCAGCTCCTTTAAATTTTCCATTTAAAATAGTAGCTTCAGCTTCAATGGTATGTTTCATTATGTTTTTCATTGAAACTTGTTACCGTTGTAAAGTCGTGGCTGATTTTTTTTTCAATATATAATTCTGTAATACAATATGAGTTGTTCTGGAACCAATTTCGGAAGATTCATCCAAACATATATACCTAAATCTTGGATATCAAAATGCGTTTCTCGTTTCAAATCACGATTGAAAAGCTTGTTTGCAGATCGATTCAGACAAGTCATTCCCAACACCACCAGTGCTTTGTTAGAGATTGCCAAGCACATGTCCACAATCGAAACCAATGCCTCATTATACACTTTTGGTGTAAATTTAATGTCCGGATTTTGAATCTTTGCACGCAAACGATGTAGGATATCTTCACTCCTGTAGTCTTTGTATTTCTCCCAAAGATCTTTTGGATTGGATGGGAAGCAAGTTATCAATATGATTGCAAACAAAGTGCATATTTGCTGTGTTTGGGCAATATTCGATGCATCAGAGATACCAACGTTGATGATAGCTCCGGTGGTGAATGTAATTCTGACAATTTCACTTTCCCACCCGCGCAGCAAATTCCCGGTGTTTCATTCTTAAACTTGAGGGCACTGCAATACACGCATATTTGATCCATTTTTCCAATAACCACACTTGGATGAAGACTGTAATCATAATTAGCATCGTAATGGAATGCACTAAGATTTAATTCAGCGTGCAGTGTTCGTCTGGATCGAGCAGTGCGTACTCTATGGGAATCCAGTCTTGTTTCTCGTTGCTCCACTGGTTCAGACGAACGGGTTTGAGCATTGCGTACTCGAGTGGTTTCTTGTCTTGCTTTCTTTTGCTCGACTGTATCAGATGAACGGGTTTGAGCAGTGCGTACTCGATCGGTTTCTTGTCTTGCTTGTCTTTGCTCGACTGTTTCAGATGAACGGGTTTGAGCATTGTGTACTCGAGCAGTTTCCAATCTATTTTCTCGTTGCTTGAATGTTTCCGAAGCGCGTGATGATTTTTCTTTCGTGCTTGAGGTGTAGAAAAACCAATAGCTTTTCGTTTGGGTGGCATAATTGATTTGACAGCGAATTTATTGCTTTGTGGCGAATATTACAAATGCATGTGATATATGTTCTTATCAATGGTATTTCACAATTAACACAACTTGTTAGGTCACACACAAAATGAGATGTCGCTGTTTGTATTTGATTCAGTTAATTTACAATATTGCTAACTTTAATAATTTTCACACGTTAGGCTCTTCCATCTCAATACTCGAAAACCTCGCACAATAGGTACGTTCATTGTTGGCAGGAGAGTTCCAGTTGCATAGCTTCACATTCAATGGGAGTCGCTTAGTCACTTCCTTGTTTGGTCACGTGATGAGAGTAAGCCATCACTAGGCTGCTACACACAACAAAAGATACTTCATCAGTGCTTCCCCAATGTCCTGTTACTTAAAAATTTTACCTTTCGAAATATTATGGAATACACGCGTTTTTTAAATGAAATACATAAATGTGACAATAAATATACGTCAGTTATGATTAAAGGAAGAAAGTTATTTCAAGAAAAATTTGTGAGCGATATTCGATGGGAACTATCACTACTATCATCGGCAGGCTGTTGTTGAGCTCCGTGCGTGTCCATGACATCATTTGCGTGTTTATTCAATATTTGTGCAGGAGTCATTCCCCTTTGTTTATTTTATTGTTAATTTTCATTGGACGAAATGTCGGCATACCGATGACGTCATTTGCATGTTTATTCAATATTGGTGCAGCAAAGGAATATTTTAATAAGCGGTTGGAACAAGATTTCATGTGAATAATTAACGAAGGTCCACTTTGTCAAGCCATTGTCTTAAATTTTCTTTATTCTTAAGCGGAAACTTATGCAGACTTATACCGCTGTCCTTAACTTGACTGTTTGAACAGCCAAAAGACGAACATTGCCTAGGCATCTTGAATTACTAGTTGTAGTGTGTAACGGGCTACTGTTGTCAAGCACTAGTGTGTTGTATCCATCCTACCGGAAGTGTTACTCGCTTTTACTCTCTTCACGTGACAAATCAATCGACTAAGCGACTCTCATTGGGTGAATTAATATGCCATAAATATCCACCTTTTAATTAGATACCATAACTTGAATTTTTAAGGTGTGTCTTGCATCGCAATAAAGTTTAAACTAATGCAGTTGTTTTGAATTCTTTTTAAAAAAAAGGTCTTACAGAAGCATCAAAAGAAGAATCTTTTTATAAAACATTCAAAAGCAGGTTGAAGGGTTCCATAAATGTCAAATTTTGGTAATACATCAAACTGCTATTAAGGACACACAAAACAAAAGTAACTATTTAAATAAATGTCTCACACACAAACTGAGCTCTCAACAACGAAAGTACATAACTGAAGACTTGCTTTTGCATGCCCTTCCTGTTGTGTGCAAAAACATATTAAGTATAAGAAATATTAAAGAGTAGTCAAACTATACAACACTCTTAAGTATTTTTCAATGAACAGCGAACAGCATATTTTATTTAGCTCAACCCTTAAATATCCTCACTGCGCAATATTAAAATATTGAAAAGTCAATGCAAAAAGATGGAAATCTTTAAAATAGGCTATTTCAAACATTTATAATTCTTAAAAAATACTGTAGTCAACTCTTTAGATTACAACACTGTAGCTACAGAATTTAGTACCTGTAAAGGGTGTAGCAAGAGTTTGTGGCACCCAGAGCAGTCAGTTGAATATCACCCAACATTCAGGGAAATACAATCATCGAACATACTTAGAGAGTTAGTGGAAACAAAGGGTGAAAAGGGTAGGGGGGAATGGTGCTTCCATGAGGACTTTAATTATAAACATACCAGATGATGGGAAGGTAGAGGAAAAACCAACTTGATAGGGTCAGCTTGGGGAAACTTACAAGGAGGGTAAGTGGTCAATGGGGTAAGAATAAACATATAGTATATAAAGGGAGCAATGGGAGTAAGGGTTGTACAATACCATCAAGCTTTAGGGGGTTGGGGGAGTTAAGGCCGGTAAAGGAAGAATGTAGCTTGTGATGAAAGCATGGTAAAAACTAACAGAGGCGGGAGACAAAGCCAGGGGAACAGGCAAGGAAAGGAGTAGTAAAACGGAGGTGGGTGGTAGGGTAGGGCTAACGGGGGGGGAGGGTACATATGGAAAGTTTAGGGGTAAGTTAGAAAATGTATGCATTACTTCATCAAAACAGATCAAAAGAAACACCACAAAAAACTAAAGAAAACTTAGAGGTTTTAGATTAAAGCTGTTAAAACTTTGGTAGTTTTATTATTTAAAAACTCCTTTTATTTCAATACAAACAGTATGTCATAAATTATTTGTCACCTGGTCACAATTAGTCCAGATGATCAATCTCTCATGTAATATTATTACATTTTCTTCTTTTAGGTGTCTTATCTTCAGACGAAATTGTTAAAGAAATACAAATCCTTTTTGCTGCAGAAAACTACAAATGATGTATCCCCTCCTCCTACAAAAGTGCTTCCTTTGTCCCACATTTCAACCACACCCCCTCAAACACTGATGATACTAATACATTCATCTCAAAATTGGTGATTCTCATTTGACTGCCAAACACCACACTAGAAGATTGAGCTATTGAAACATGCATAAACTCTAGATGGGCTGCCAGCACAATCCATGTACATACATCCCAACATGATGGACCAATACACCAAACAGTCACATACATCAAAATTGGAATCTACATCAAAGAGCATCTAACGCACAACACTGAAAATTACATCAAGTTTCATATGGGGCACATCAGGAGGAAAGGAAAAGTACATTCATTTTTTTCAATAATTTGTTTAAACTCATAAAATTAAAATTAACAATGAAAATCGTTTTAATAATGAAAGAAAAAATGATAAAATGCACACATTTTACTACAAGCATTCAGAGCATCAATATAGCAGTCCTCTTTGAAGTTTCTGTACAAGGTTGAACACAGTCATGTAGTAGCAACAGTCAATGCACTAACATTAAGATGCTGATAGAATGTTTTTCATAGACATTACACAGATTATCAAAACAGTCAATGCAATAACAGTAACCTGATAGCTTGCTTTCTACGACGCTTGTTTAGATCAATCAAATTAAATCTAATGTTTCCCCAATAATCTGGACACTTCATATAGCCTGTCATAAGTGTTTTACTCATAACACAATGAACAAATTAACCACCTGTGATTACCATACTGGATAAATTATGGGTTACACCATTACTCATTACTAACAAATACTAAATCAAAAATGACTAAAGAAAAAAAATGTAGTACTTATTTTTTTATCATATGATTGTCACACTAATTAACAGAGGTAAGTCGTAATACTGGTATTTTGAATAAAGTCCACTGTCACATCCAGTTAGAGGAGTCAAACTTACAAGAGCATTGGTACATGCCAGAGCAGGACACCCATATTTCAAGCGTCACAATTAAAAGTCTTAACAAAGATCCAGTCAAGATAAACAACAGAAATCAATTCTTAAATCATTTTGCTTGCCAGATGTAGGTTTAAAGAAAGAAAGATCAAATAAACAATTCAGAGTCCACAAAATCAGTAGGTTCTTCATAGTTTTTCTTCACTAGACAACCAAAAAGAAAAAAAAGTTAGTTATATTAAGTTCTGAGGGCGTAAATAGCATTCTTCTTCCATCTCAAAAAGCCCCCCCCCCCCTCTAAGAGTCTACTTGCCTTTCGATAGCACATTAACATTAATGTGTCCTACATAAAGGACATTTATAACAAACCATTACATTAATTATCAATGTAGATTTTTTATTTTACAAAAAAATAGTATTATACAGGACATGAAGGTAACCATCACAGCCATTGGTTCAAATAGCGCGACTAAGAATGGGCAAACTCTTTGCTTTGCTGTCGGCCAGACATACATGTAAAGTGTATCAATAAATCAAAATTTATAATTTTTAAATGAAAAAAATTATTCCAAAATGCATCTTTTATTTTTTATGTTTCTGATTATTTTCAACCTCAAAGTTGTCAGCACATTGTAAATTTAAAGTTCATTGTTAAAATATCTTGTCCATTACAAAAATTAATTGGTTGGTTATCAACAAATTTAAGTTTAAAATAAATCTTTTAAAGAAGAAATTTAACAGGGGAAACAAGTACAAACCTTAAGAAATCAACAGCAAAATTACATATTTACTTGGCCACTGGCATCTAACAAGTAATATTGTCAATTAAATGTGCTAAAAGAATAGCAATCACAAACAATAAGCTTTAACTTGATGTTTAAATCTAAGATCCCTTCATTAGATTGGATTTTGATAAACTAAAAAGCTGAAATTTGGCTACAGCTTCAAATCACAGTAAATGTTCATGTATTAATACTTCAAACATTTATGTTACACCATTAAAGATATCATCACCTTTACTGTTAAACCACCAATAAAATGATGCCTCCAACAGAGGGTATATAATTCATGTCAAACTTAGGTAACATATATTTATTAATATGCCTTTGATATAAACTTAATTTATTGTTTCTCGGTGAAAATATGCAATGTTGGAAACTACTAATACAAAGATGAAATGTAATATTTTTCATGTGGACTCTCTAAATTAAAATATAGTCATATTCTCATTTTTTTTTAAAAGTCTGTATTTCCCTAATATGATTTTTGACTTGACAAAAAGCTTCAGATGATCCTGTCTCAGCATAAAATAAATCCCTCAAAACAACGTTATTTATACTGACTTGTTTGGTTTTGATTCAGGATAAGCAACATTAGCAAGTCATAGAAATTAATGATTTGTAGAATGACCACCTGGATTATACAGTCCTGTCCAGGATGGATTATCCTGTCCACCATGGGTTAGTTGGTGCCTCCAAAATAATGAATACTTTGAGTGGCTACCCAGCAAGTCACAGGGTAGAATGGCTGGCTTGAACACAGGGCTATGTGTATTGGCTCTGCAGTTTCAAGTACTAAAAAAAACACATGAAGCCATTTTAAATAATTACAATACCAATGGAATTACTTAAATGGGTAAGCAGCAAAAAATAATTTATGCAATACAGTACATCTCAGTCATCTTTACTAACTTTAATAAAGGAACCATAAATTTAACAGAGTACCGTAATCCACAATTATTGCACTTTAATTAGAAAGTATCTTCATAAACATGTTGAAATTGTTTAAAAGTATAGTGAACTATTGACAAAATTTAATTTAAGTAATAAAAATCTATTTGATTCATAACATCTTTACCTGGATAACTAGGGAAGGCCCACGTGCTACAATATCGGCAGGAATCTGACTAAGTGGGCAGTTCTCTATGGACATAATTTGTAGAGTGCTACAGTAGGCTAGTTCACTAGGCAAACTGTGCAGCTCTTGGTTGTCATTGATATATAGAGACTCCAAATTGGCAAGAGCACCTGATTGTGGAATAGTAGATTATTATTAACAAACACAGGAAATGATAAACAGATAGAATTAGTCCTATACGACTGCCTTGTTTATTTTATTCTTGCTTAAAATTTTTGATGTATACACACTTGTATGCCAAAGCAAAGGGGATATAATAACTACATTGAAAAAATATGAAAATTCGTCATTGTTTAAAATTTTCCCTAAGTAAAAAAAAAATTTAAATAAAATAATCCTCGAAAGAGATGTTACATACAGAATAACTTTTCAAATATAATATTTTAAGTTGAATATCAGTACATTTTTACATACTACCAGCACCATTGACAACCAGTATCCACTTCTAGAACTAATTTTAAAGTCAGATTCATAGTGTTCCACAAAAAGACTAACAGAGGCGGTGCCTTTGTCTGTATTTAATTGGGTTGTCAAGATGGCAACATAAGGCCCCTTGAAAGCAGTCTGGGAAACTGACATCCAGTGCCATATCCCTTTTGAAAGAGCAGTCACATGTCTGAATGGGCGCTCAGTAGCGGTGCTGAAGGTCCAAGCACAGGGCCACACCGCACTGCATCCATCTTCTAGCTATTGACCTGTTAGTTGTGTGTCCCAGAATTTCCGATGGAACTCAAACAGCATGCGTCATCTCATTAAACCTTTTCACATCCCAACACTTTCCTTACAACACCTGGATCCAGGCATTTCCCATGGCCTTAAATGTAATTCTTCAACCCTACAGAATCTCAGGAACACATCCATCAAAATACATTTCACAAAATCATTCCAAATTACCGATATCTCACCACTAATCACAAACATCACATTACTACAAAAAGGATTATTAATTTTACTTTTTGTACACTTTAAATATTTTATTTTGGTCTGCTGGATAGGTTCATGATATCAAGACCTTGGTATGCCATGCAAAACTTCTAATTCTAGCAACTTAGTAATAAAAGAAAATTTAAGATTTCTTCACAAAGAATAGCAATGACAAGCAGTTAAGTAAAACTGTACTGTTTTCTTACTAAGGTCCACTAAAACCAGGTATGTCAGGACAGCTTCTAATTCATCCTGCAGGTACTCCATAAGAAACTTAACAGTTTCAATTGTCAGAAATGAGTTAACTTTCTATACACTATAACATACCTGTTAGTTTAATTTTTAATATTAAGATAATGTATTGAATGATTTTGTGATGATATTGCACAATTTTAAGAGTTTGAGGGTAAACAGGTCTGCTATAAGATTTTATGGTAGTTAACTTTGGTTTAAAAACAACCTGGTAGGGTGATAGACTTGGATTAAAAGAATAAAAAGAAGAAAAATTATTAACTAACAGCTAAGACAATAGTTACCTATTTCAACAGGTAATGTGGTCAAATTATTCTCCCCTGCACCAAGATACTGCAAGTTCTTTAAAAATCTGAAACAGTTGGATAAAGTTAAAGATAAATAATTTTTATACTGACTCATTGCTTAACTTAATACAAGTACAACATTTAACAAAAACTGGTCATAGAAATTCAATGTTAAGAGTGAAAAAGCAATGTGAAATTTACCCTATGGTCCTTGGAAGGGATGTCAGCTGATTTGTCTGGACAATCAATTTCTGCAGTTCTTGCAAATGACCTAAAATACAAATTAAGGTTTTTTATATTTTTAAAAATTAACAACAGCAAAACCTTAGCAGTCATTTGGAATTGCAGAGTTTACCAGACCATTTTAAATCATATTCTCTTAATCATAAAGATCCACTGAACATCATTTTTGCTCATGGAAACTTTTTCCTTATAAAAATAGACCAAATGGGCCAAAGCAACACCCGTATTGTAAGGATTGTTAACCAGATATCTCCCCCCACAACTCCATTAAAATGATTTGAAAACAAATTTGTATATGGTTTTCAATAATAGCTTACCTATTTCTTGAGGTAGTGACTCTAATTTATTTTCCTCTAAATCTAAGACCCGCAACTTCTTCAAGCTTCCAATATTTGCTGGCAACCGCTAAAAATAAAAAAAATGTTCAAATAACAAAACAGATAATGAGTAACTATTTAGTAACTATGTGACAATTTCAAACCCAATCCATGCAATCACTTGAAAATCATATGCAGTTTATTCAAACATCGCAACAGTAGATGTTGATGACTAAGGATTTTTCTTACCCTTAAAGAATTATTGCTAAGAATGAGAACTTCCAACTTGTGGAGGTTGTGAATGTCGTCTGGAATTTTGGTCAACTGATTTGTACCCAGGTTCAGTTCAACCATGTTCTCCCAACTACCCATGTCTGAGAAATAGAAAAGAAAACATTAAAAGAAAGTATGTAATATTAAATTGGCTAAATATGAAATAACAAAAATGCTTTGAAGCACATTTTGCAAAGCTTGTAACAAATTATTATATGATGAGCAAGTATTTTAACTTGTTAATCTGATCCTGAATAACCTAAAAATATTACAATTAAAAAACATTCATACTTTCTAATTAATTTCTAAGGTGAGAAAAGACATGCTTAGCTTCCTAGTCTAACTTAGAGAGAAGATGAAAACATTCAGATTTTTTAAGAAAACCAAAACGATGTGATCTTCTCTGAATGAGTAATGTTCTCTTATTTGCAAAAATTGTAGTAAAACTTTAGCAGTCTTTTGTGGTGGTAAAGTTGCTAGGCTCTCTAACAATAATAAAACAGCCAAAGGTATTATGTAGTTAGTAGGGATGAGCTGAGTGCAGTTTTTTTTTAAACTCAGTCTGGGTCAAGGCATTTTGAGACAATACTCGGCAAGTCCAAGTCTGGATGTTACAAACATTTTACATTTTTTATATGTGTTCCACCCAATGGGGAGAAGTGAAAAGTGCAAGTATAGAACCTGTAGCAATCACTAAGGCATCAAAGTTGAAGGATCAATAGCTTAACAAAATAATCCTAACCCAGCGATTCTCAACCTTTTTTAGTGCCACAAGCCCTTTATAACTTATCTGCCAAATTTTGGCAACCCACAACCAGAATTATGCCTTGAAAAGCAGGACGGGCAGAGCTTTTTTTGTAGCTAAAAAGGTGTTGGTAATTTTATTTTGACGGGGGGGGGGCAGAAATAAGGGCTAAGATAGATGTAGGGTTCTGTAGAGTGGGGTCTGGTAGTCAATACCAAGAAATTTTTTGGATAAACTCAGACACCTGGTTTTATTTTTGTGTGAAAGCTGCCAACTTTTAAGTTTAGAGACAAAATGAAGCAAAGAAAGAAAAAAAACTTTCAAAAATGTTTTAATAAAAAAAAAAATTAAGGAAAATCGTATATTATGTAATTTTTTTTAAAATGAAAAGAAACAGCCAAAATGTTGATATTTAATTAATTACTGACATCTGCATCATAGCTTTTAAATTAAATTTTACATAGCTGTAGTGTAGTCAACGTGTAGTAGCAATAAGAAACTAGTCCGATCACTGTAATTAATATTTAAATTTTACAATGAAAATTTTACAACCCAAGTTGCAGAGGTGGGAGCTTGTGGCACTTGCTATGTAACAAGCTAGTTTTAGGACCACCAAATAAGGAGCTTTCAGGACCCTGTGGGACTGCAGCATCCAATTTCAATGTGTAGCTAGAAGCTATACACAGAAAGTGTGCACAGCATGCTGCAAGAGGTGGCAGCTTGTCATTTTTTCTGATTCAAGATCAGTTTTTGAGATCTTGAATAAGGACGAACATAACACCCACTTAGTTGGTGCCATCTTGGATGACGTGGGCAAGATTGAAAGAGGCGATAAAAAAGCAGAAACCCTGGCAAAAACCGGGGCTGCCCAGCCTCAGCCAGAAGTAACAGTCACTTATTCTGGTGTTAAAAACAGTTTTTAGACCATTTTCTAACAAAATGGTAAAGGCAATGGGCAGACGGAACGAAAGTCAGAGGTGCATCACTAACCAAAGATATGTATCTTGCTAACACAAATAATTAACAAAATCTCACAAAAATCCCATTATTATTTCCAGAGCTTTGCAGTTTCATTTCACTTACAATTGGTTTTGCACCAATAATTAGTCAGTTTTCTATTGTATTAATTTAATTCAGGTAAAATGTACCCAAAAAAATGAAGTATAAAAGTTGTTTTCGTTCTATACAAGCACTTTTCATTTTTCCCCATTGGGTGGAACATTTATAGAATAGGCAGATAACTTTTTTTTTTTTTACCAGCTGCACCTGGTTCTGTTTTTTTTCTCCAGGTCGGGGTATGTGCCTAGTGTGCGAATACTCAGTAGTTCCAGGTTAGTAGCCCGGCTCAGCCCAAGTATGTAGTGGGTCTGGCATTTGTGTGTGGAATATTGCACAGCAGTTGGGACTGTTTTGTCCTTATGGCAAGAATAGGTTACTGAATTGCAAATATTATATTAATTCCCATATCAACATTTGATTATGAATAACTGCAGAAAATATAAACCATAAAATTAAATTTAACAGGCCATTTTGATAATTTTCAGTAAGTAGCTTTAAATGAAGAAAAACTTACCAAGCGGTAAAGCTGAAAGAAGATTGTCTTTCATATTTAATTTGGTGAGGTGTCGAGCTCTAGAAAAAATTCCTAAAGGAATGTTGTTGACTCGATTGTGCTCCATGTTTAAGGACTGTATGAAGAATGTAAAAATGTGTCAATAATTTGACTCAAAAAATACACACCAGCATATAACAAAAATGCAAAATTTAAAAAAGCTTACTACTTAACCCATTCAATACGTCTCAATTTTTTAAGGGAACGCAGTAAAATTTTGGGACTAAAATTCTATTTGACCTGATGATTTTAAACTGAAAAGCTAAGTTTTGCTATTTATCAAAATTATATCATGCTGCATATCCAAATGTAGGTAATTGAAAAAGGAATATGTTTCTAGTATAAAAAAGTGATAAAAAATTACTCAAAGAAAATTTTTGAGGGTAATATTGCAGGTTTATGTAAACAATTATTTCAAAATTTTTTTTTGTGCTTTACTCACCAGCTCAGAAATCAGGTAACAATAATCCAATCAAGTTCACACTTTTTTAAAATGAGTCTTATGATATATTCAAAACAACTGGAAAGTTTCATTGCAGTGGCTCCAGAAATTGTAAAGTTATGAATTTCTTTCCCAAGACATGTGTTAAACAATTTTTTTCAAAAATTCAACAATAAAAATAGTTATACTCAAATATTTACACATATTTCACATATTTACTAAATATATACACAAATGAAGCTATTATTTTAAATGAAAGGCCTTGAAGCATCCTTTAGGATGGAGATGGGGTTTTGCTTCACAGCCACTGCAATAGAAATGTGTGCGTACGCGCTTTGTTGCAGTTGAGCAATATGCGCAAGATCGGTCCCGTTCATCATAATCAACAATGTGCTGTGCATCATTAGACTTTTCGAGGCATCCGGTCTCTGGACACTTTCCTGGTGCTTTTATTACTTGATTCAATGCTACTTCCTCAGTAAGCTGACGCATCAACAAAAGTTTGTATTGTTTTAGACTCATTTTGACTCTGTTTACATCTGCTGATTGGCAGAGTAAAAACAAAATGTATGAGTTCACCTGGGTGATTTCCAACAGCCAGTAAAAAATCTTTTTCCACCATCTCAATGTTTTTCGCTCATAAACACAGTAATGTGTTACTTTTTGGTCTAGCTTATCGCAGCCATTCATTTTGTGATTATAAATGTCTATCATTTCCGGTTCATCCATTTTTTTTTGTTTCGGTAACTTGTACCCTAGCATCTGTGGACACCAATATGACATTTTTGTGTGCCTTTTATCCCTGAAAGCAACCCAGAGCATGCTCTTGTTTTGGTTTATATACCACTTCATCTCTTTTTGTTGGAAATCCAATGCGGTTGATATTCAGTGTTCCTGTGTAGTTTTGGTTTTTGGCAAGAAGGTAGTCAACAAGTTTTCTTGATGTATATCTGTCAGCAAAAATTTTGTGTCCAGTACCTACATGCTGCAGTAAAGTATGAAAAACTTGCACAGCCTGTCCTCCATCTTTATCTGTTTCTAGGTTATAGGAGGTATTGGCCCCAAAATAGGTCAAAATATCAAAAACATAACTCGTTGAGGAATCACACAGGCCAAATGTCATTATATGATATTTGCTAGGCTTAGTGGCATTATATTGTTTGAATTGCCATCTGCCCTTGAAGCCTATTACCATTTCATCTATGCTAAGTTCCTGAAAAGGGTAGAATGCATTTCTAAACTTATTCAAGAGTAAGTTCATAAATGGTTCAATTTTATCTTTCCCTACAGAATTTTCAACGCCACAGTGTAGCATGGAGTGATAGATGTCCTGAAATCTGTCTGCTGAATACATGGCGTATCCATGGAATATAGGATTCAGCAGACATGGACCAATAATCAGAAATAGCTGGCCTTTTATACATCCCTATGTAGATGAGAACAGCAATAAATTTGTCTAGCTCCTGGCTTGATATGTCCACCCATCGACTAAAGACAGAGCGACTAAGTGCAGGTGTGTTCATGTGAACTTTCTTTTTAGCCTAGGCATTTATAGATTCAACAATGTAATTCTAAACATTATCATCAAATAGTTCATTGAAAAAGTAAATAGGTGTAGGGTTTACAATGTTTTGAAGTTTAGGGCAAACTCCAGGATTTCTAAGGGGATGAAATCGGAAATTGTTTTCAGTTTGTCCAGTTAGGACTTCGGACCACTCTGTCTCTGTAGGGAAATAATTTGAACTAGTAGATGACTAGTTTTAGATGAAGATGAATTATGCTTTGAAATTGAAGCCACAGAATTAGTAGAACTTGAACTAGGCCTTGAACTTGATGTAGATTTTTTTTTTCCCTTTTCCAATGGATAATTTTTGTCTCTTTGTAGTCGGAATATATTCCTCATCACTAGTTTCCTCAAATAATAATTTTTCGTAATCACTATCACTGTCGTCAGATTTATCGTCGTTTGAACTTGAATCATCCAAGCAAATCAATTTACTTGCCTCATCGGCAGTCATAGATCGAAGTCCTGATCGACTAGAACTAGCATTGTTATTCGATGCAGCCATTTTATATCAGCTGTCTTTTGTTTACAAATTTTTAAATGAAAAAAACTAGCACAAAATACACAAAACGTGGGTTAATCGGTTTGAAATTCAACATAAAGGAAGTGGAACTCTTCTGAATAAAAGTTTGATAAGCTATATAATAAAATACTTGAATGGCAAAGTTGGAATACTAATAAAATGAAACAAACCAGTGGTGACGCAGAGAGTGGCTAAACGTACTCTACCGAAATCGCAGTGACGCACACTGCGGCGAAACGTATTAAATGGGTTAAATTTAAATAATTTTAAAATAATTTTCCTTTTAATAAACTTTTGGATATAAAGCAAAAATGACTTACATAAACAGAACAAAATTGTGATGGACCTCCAGTCGGATACTTTTCAAACTTGTTTCTAGATAATGTGATACTAGTTAGGTTAGTTAAGCTGGATAAAAGCCCCTCCTGTAGTTGAAAAAATATTATATCATAAACATTTAGTTATTACAAACAATGCTGTGTATGTACTTATAAGTATGAAATAGTTAGCCAAAATGCTGGGAAAATTCAAGTCTAAATATCATTATTCAAAAAAGTAAATAATTTACTAACTGGTAAAGAAGATATGTTGTTCCCCTCCACATTAAACTCCTCCATGTTTATACAGTAAGCCAAAGTGCTTGGAATCACATTCAATCGGTTGTACCTGAAATAAAGACACCTTAAAAATTAGATTCCTATTATTAATCAACTATAAAACCAAGGGTTTTCCTCCTCACCACTTATCCATCTAATACTTAACTAAATGCCCCTTACACAAATGGAGGCTGGTAAATTGTTTTAATGTATCATCTGCATATTTATTACGCCATACAAAAAATATTTAAACTATTTACAAAGTCTTAAACTATATAATGTAACCCCCATAGGATGATAATGAAATAATTATACACTGTCAAAACACTGACTCACCTGAGCCCAAGACGATTGAGCTCTTTGAGGTTACCAATAGATTCAGGGATGTCTAGGAGTTCATTATGTTGTAAGTCAAGCGAATTCAGCATTACACATTTTCCAATATCTTTAGAAAGTGAATTATAAAATTTAAAAATTAATAGAAAGCTTCATTACAAAAGTCTGCATCTTAAACTTGTATTAAAAACATCCTGTTAACAATAAGGCTTGTTCTATTCAACAGTATTGAGTACCTTTAGTTTTAAATCTACATTTATTTTCCTCAAAAGGACAGATTTGAATAATTTAGATTTGTTAAAATTACTTAAAGAAATTTAAAGCTTACCAAGATACTTTATTTGTAATCTTGAGTTACATCTAAACTAATTAATGATATGTGTTTAGCAAGTGACTACCTTCTGGCAAGTGCTCCAAGTGATTATGCGAAATATCAAAGATCACAAGTTTTTCTAATTTTCCTATTCCATTGGGCAGTTCTTTAATTTTGTTGTCCCGTAAACTACACCTGGTTAAATTCTGAATGAGCAAAAATTATTTTTTTATGAATGTATTAGTTACTGGTTTCAAATAGGTTTAGAAACAAATTTACAACCAACAAAAAATAGGAATAAAAGTAGCTTCATGAAGGAAAGAATTTAGATTTTTTTTACTCCTAATAATAAAACAAGAATATAAATTACATATATCATACCTTTTTCAATTTACTGAGATATCTAACAAAAATCAGAAACTCAATATAACATACTTACTGTTAAATTACTTATCTCCTCATCAACTACTCGTATTCTGTTAAATCTAAGGAATAACGTTGTCAAAGAACGGAGCTGGTACACAACCTTTGGAATCTGGTAAGCAATGGAAGAAAATGGAGTAATCATTTCAAAAGACAAGCTAGCTTTATGTGATGTGTAAAATTAACAGGAAAATACTTATTACTTACTCCTTTGAAACTTTGCTCCACCGCTTTTGTAAAAGAATTAAAATTTATGGATAAAATCCTTAATACTACATAATAGCGTACCTCTTGTAGTTTATTATGCCTGAGATCCAGAACTCTTAGTTTGGTAAAAGATGCAAATGATTCAGGTAAACTAGATATTGAGTTTTCACTCAAAGCCAAAGTCTGTAGCCCGGTGAGTGATCCCATTTCTGGTGGTAACTGTGTCAGTCTATTACTATAAAGATATACCTCAGTTAATTGTGTTAAGTCCTTTATGCTGTTTGGCAATGAAGAAATCTGAAGAATACCCACACAAAAAAATGATTAGGATAAAATGCAGATATCAGACAGGCATATGTCAATTCAAGAAAAACAATAATTAAAATTTGAACAATTATATACAGGGCCGAATTTTTTTTATTGAAAATTAAAACGTTTGATATCTTGTAAACATACTAGAGACAAAACACAAACAATAAGTTCATTTTAAACACAACCACACCAAACTAAGTATTCCAAGTTTTATTTTCCTTTAAATGCCATTGCTTTCAAGTTCAAGATAAGGTTTCTGGTGGTTAAATTTTAATGACTATTTCTAAGTTTTACCAATGACTGCAGCTGACCACTGCATTAAGGCTAAATTTTCAAATGCTTCTTAATTGGAACGGTTTAAATTCAACTATATTGTGTTGAAACACACATTTATGCTACATTTAATTATTGTTCTGGCTACTTATCTTACAAAAAAAATGTATGCTTCAACTCTATCTGAATTTTATTAACACTTCTTTAGATTGTAGTATATTTATTTTCAGAATGTACATACTTTTAAAAATTGCACTTGCCTGGGACTTGCTGAGATCTAATCTTGAAGCATTTTCTTCTTTGCACTTTTTTAACTCTTTGGTAACATCCTGATTAAATATAAATGCCATCACTTAAAAACATTTATAAAAAGATTTTATACTGTATACATCAACATCAAAGCAATGCCTACTATTATGACATTTTCAATGTATGCCAACCAAAGACAAGAATTTCTTTTCTTCAAATTGAACAGTTTCATAACTATAAACAAGAAACTGGTTAGTTTTTTTTGTTACAATTATTTATTAGGCAGAACATCTTTTTTCTAAGAGATATATTTTAAGGGCTTAATGTAACCTATGTTCAAGGAAAAAACAAGAGATGTGAATTTATTTATTTTTTTTTAAACACAACACACAGTTTAAATGACTTTTAGATAAAATACTAGACTAGAATATTTATTTTCTTTAAACAAACCAAGTTTAAAAACTTTACATTAATTTAAGACCATTAAAAAAAGGCAAGTACTTTCACCCTAAGTTTGAGTGGTTCCGTGTAAGCTCCTAGCTGTAACCATATAGATTTTCATCTAAAAAAATTACAAGCTGCCATTTCCTGAGGCTGAAGAGTCTATTTTGCTTAACAGCTGGTTAATGAGGAATGATAAAATGAAAGCACCTTCTATCTACCACTTTTAAGATACCTTGCAAATGCTGACAATGCTTAGCACCACCAGTAAGATTTCTGGGGATTATTGTCTCCCCCTACCCTGCTACTACAGCAAAAAAATAGCCCAATAAAAAAAATATAACTGGACAATTACCAAGTATATGCAAGCTTCATGTACATTACAAGGGAGGGACATAGTTTAAGTTAAGAGGCATTGTTTAATAAATAGACATAAAAGCACAGATTGTGATTTCCAAATAAACTTATTGGCCTAATTGGTGTACCGATGCACACCTGCCCTGCTATAATTTTTAAATATCTTGTTAAAAAGTTGAATAAAACAAACATCATACATTAAATTTATTAAACAAAAATTTAATTTATATACATTGCAATATATGCCATTATTTGTCAGAAACTTCTCCTCTTTCTGCCATTTAAGTGTGCCATATATTTTCCCAAGTAACAATTTTAGTTAAGTTATGTGTAATCCATTATTTTCCTCATTTTTAATTAAATTTTATAGTATTCTCAGTTTTAACAAAATAAAACAAGAAGGGCGTAAATCATTATTTTCAATTGTTTCTAAAAGTACTTACCAAATCTGCCTTTACTGATGGTCTCCCTTGGACACAAGGCTTTGCTTTACTATGCCCTGGCAAGCTGACAGACACATACTTTTTTCCTCCTGCAATTGTATCAATTGCCAGAGACGCATTACTGCTCTTCTTGTCCTGCAGATTGCATACATTAAAGAACAAGTTATTTAATAAATTTCACAAGAGAAATATCTAAATAGAAACCAGGAATTAAATTATTGCAATGTATGCTAAAAAATTTAAAGCTTAACAGAAACTAAGAGTATTTAATTAAATTTTTTTTGCTAGCTCAATCAAATTTTAAAAAAAAATTATTAAATATTCCAAGTACCTTATCCCTGTCTCCATCTTTTAAAGACATTGTTTCTGCTGCACCTTCCAAATCGTCATCCAGATCCTGCCCAAAGGCTCCTCGTGTATCATACTCCGGAGAATCAGAGTCTGCTATAGAAAGGGGTCCCTGACCCATGTAACTCTCAGCTCCTTTCCAATCAGCCAACCGCTCAGCGGCAGCCGAATTCTCTCGAGATTTATTTGGTTTCTTTGACATCATGCTCAGTAAAACAAAATTAACAAGTCACACACATTGTTAAAAGTCGAAATTGTGCTTGAGAATTTAACATAAGAGGGGAAATATCCAGCTGTAAAATCTGTCAGTAAGTTGACTGAAAAGGATGTCTTGATTTCACTCTTTGAAGACAAAATCATTTGTAAGCAAGAGTTTCCAGGATACATAAATTGTCTTGTTCTGAGCAACAATCATAATATCTGAAATGTTAAAAGAGGGAAAATAAGAAACACTTGACCTTGGGAGTAAAAATAGCACAAGTAGTTTTGTGTTATCTTGTGACATTGCATTGAGGCAAATCAACAAAAGTAAAGGTTAAAACTGAGACAATTAGGGATTCTTGAAAACATTTACAGTTGTAGATTTTTACAATTCTAAAATAATTTTTTAAAATATTTTTATCATTTGAAGTGAAAATAACAAAAGTTGCTAAGGAACTGTAAATGTTATTTAACTTAACATTTAAATGGGTAGTAGCTACACCTTTGTGATGTTCAAGTTCTATGGTATCATTATTTAAAACAGTTGTAGCACCCATCCCAAAGTCATATCTTAATAATAATTAGAACACATTAATGAGGAGCTTCCATCATTTAGTGGGTACTGGGATACTTTTAAAGTAGGAAGATGTTTTCATTTTCTAATTAACATATATTTTAATCCCTTGTGCTGTGATGTGTTGAATTTGTACTAGATTTAGTGGAATTCTATTTACCTTTTCCTCCCCACATACTTTGAAAAAAATAATTTCATGGGTGAATGAATCTTCAAAATTTTGAGAGTAGACTGACAGCGGAAAAGCCAAAAATAGTATTGGATCAGGGTTCCTCTGTATGTAAAAGTGTTGAAGATTAAAAAAAAAACGTTCTTTTTAAGTATATATTTTTTTATGGTGATAGAGTTGATTATGCCTGTGTCTAGATAAGTCAGTGGTTCTCAACCTTCCTAATGCCGCGACCCTTTAATATAGTTCCTCATGTTGTGGGGACCCCCGGCCACAAAATAATTTTCGTTGCTACTAGATTGCTGTAGAGCATATGTGTTTTCAGATGGTCTTCGGCGACCCCTTGGAAAGGGTCGTGCAACCCCCAAAGGGGTCGCGACCCACAGGTTGAGAACCGCTGAGATAAGTGATGGTAAAATCAATTTTTTAAATTCCAAAACTCATTCTAACATAACAGAATAAAATGAAATTTTATCAGAGACTGTTCAATATTTTTTATAAGTATGTCAGGACTGAAATGAGTTGTAAGTTTAAAATTGATGAATATTTATTTACTAATTTTATATTATTATTCGAAGGGTTTCCTTTTTTTCCAGTGTATATCTGGGATGCCAATAATCTTGATCAGAATGGTAAAATGCTAAAGGTTGAGATCAACGGTGAACATTTGTTATTATTATGCGTTTTTCAATGACAAAAGCACAGTTTAGCAGTTTTTTCATCAGCAGTCAAAATCTGTATGTAAATACATCTACTACACAATTAAACATGCTATCACAAGATCATATTATGTATACAACTACACAATCATGCATATTACATATGGCCCTAGAAAAGCAGAGGTATTAATTACTTCATTTGTGCTTATGTATTAGTTGGACAATAATTCTTCAAAGTAAGATGGTAGGCCTACCATCTACTAATCCATTTAATAATTAGCTTGTTACTTACATGGAATGTCACACAATTTCAGTAATTTGTTTTTTTATTCATTAAGGTTAAAAAAAGAAAGTTGAAAGCCACTGTGTTAGCCCCCTACAGACTTGGCAAGTCCTATATTATATACTAGTTTACCCACTATAGCAGACCTAAATTAAAATCGTACAATTTAGTCTCAAAATCGTACAATACAATATCTTAATAGTTTATAAATAAACATACAATACATATAATGCATAAATTTTACAATATACAATAACTAGGCCTACTCGCATCATATGTCTGGTTGGATCAAGTTAAGCTGATGTTAAAAAAAGGTAAATTCTAAAAGTAGATGATATTACAGCCATAATCTGTAAATGAGGAGAAAGAAAGGGGGGGGGGGGGGGGGATAAAAAAAAAAAAGGTGTTTTTTGGGTCTTAAAAAATTTTTTTTAAAAGCCCCTAAAAATATTTTTTCAAAGGCCCTCTCTGATCCTATTAAGTATGCCGAAATATAATGTTGCTATGCAGAACAGTTAAGAATGCATTCTCTAGTTTTCTCTGTTTTCGCACTCATCGCTGCTCAACTGTAAAAAATACTTGTCACAAAATTATGTCATACAGCGTCGATGCAAACAAACGCGAGGGGCCATCTCTATGGTACTACATACAGGAAAATAATTCCCCCCCCCCAAACTTTCCCTTGTTGCACGGGTAATTATTTTTGTTACCGACCGCCCCCCCCCCACCATATTTTTCTATATGGGCTGCTGCGGCTTGCTCACAGGGGCGTTGCGAAATATTACTAAATGTTCATAATTTTATTTCCACTTTTAATTCAATATGACATCTAGCGGTTGTGGTTCTAACAGTAACCCACTTTAGAACCTATGTTTGCAGTTACTAGATGACCTCTTTCATGAAATGGTCCATTTTTAGGGAAGTCGAACATAAATTCATAAAAACGCTTCTTTGATATCTCATTTCAACTGAAAACCAATTTTAGGATTTTAAAAACATGTGCTTTTTGGAGGATTTACAAGGCCATATGCGGTAGGCGTGCATTTATTACCAGGAAGATTACAAATGGAACATTGTTTAAATGTGTATCACAGTGATACACATTTAAAGGAGAAATTCCATCAAGTTGGTCTGGAAAAGTTCTATAAAACATGCTTGGACAAGGATAAATATCCTGCGTTTTACAACATGCTCTGTCGATGGTTTCGCTATTTGGAAACACTTGTGCATGTTAAGAGCTTTTTAGTCATATGGAGCATATCAAATCACAAGTGAGAACATGCATTACTGATGTTCATTTGGAAAACTGTTTGCGTGTAGCGACAACATCAGTCAAGATCAATTTTTATGCACTTAGTTTTGCAAAGCAAAATCAGATGTCTCACTTATAAATATTTTTAAATTGTCTAATAAATATTTTTGATTCTCAGTTATGTCTTATTTTCTTTAAAAAATAAATCTATATATTTGGGGTTTTTTGTTGTTTTTTTTTACATTAAACCACGCAAGCATTTGACCACGATCATCTACTGAGAAACAATGATGTGGCCGAAGCTGAAACTGTAACACGCTTGCTTGTTTACTTTAATTAACAAAAAAATTAGGTGCATGGCCCAGCAGGAAATATTATTTTTGACATTTGGCCCGCCTGCTGAAAAGGTTGGCCACCCCTGCCCTTAAGTGATGTCACTGCGCATAGGGTGAGACAACTCTTGGCGAAACCCATGCCACTTACTTCACTTTTACCGTACATTAATTAGGCTATTAAACTAAATACCAATACTTGTTTAGTATTGCCTAACTAAGTAACTATAACTAGGTAGAGGAAGGTGGTAAAGCTGATTATGATTAAGTCATTTAAGCAGAGGTAGTATTCCAGAACACAGAACATTGCTATGTAATTAGAGTTAGAGGTCTAATTTACTACTTGTACTTCTACAAATGACAAATACTGGGAAAGAGTTTTGAGTGAAATCTAAAACTAAAATGAAATTCAGACTATTTAGTTTAGCCAATAGGGCAGGCAGGCCAGGAAATAAAATAAATTAGGCCTACTAAACTAAATAAGTAAAATACAGAAAGCCAATGTTTTAGTGTTCAGAGTAGAGTGATGCTACAATATCACAATAATGACAAGACCAGCCTGAGTATGTACTGTATGTAATTGCAACGGGTCTGGGTTTCGGTGTTAATACTACTACCAGAACAATACGCGACCTAATTCGAGTCCTAATCCTTACTGTGCCTTACAGTTACGTCTAGTTCCATACTTTCACGGCAAGGTTGTCTAGACCAAATCGAGGCCCTGACACACTTTCAGGCTCCAGTCATAACATCCCGATCTATTAACATGATAATGGCGAAAGCGAAAAGTCTAAGTTCATATTGGCATTTTCATATTTGCATTGATTTAAACAATAATAACAGGTTAATTTAATTATTTCAAACCTGCATTTCAACAACGCCCAATAAGAAATTCACATTATATTCTTAGTGATTCATCAAGCTAGCTTCTGTGTTGATTCACGATTTCAGTTGCGCAGAATTTTACTGCGCATTTACAAACGGAAAAACGTCAATGATCTGCATAATATGGATTGGATTTTGTGAACGTAAATTTAACATTATTATGTTCTTTTAAAAAAATTGGGTTGGGTGGGGGGATATATGTGCAATGTCATTCGAGCGGTCAGCTATCAGAGACAACTGACATAATTAAAATAAACAAAAATATGGTGATTTGTTACAATATTTCATTTAGTTATCATCACATGCTTAGAATAGAATGAAGCGTGGTCTGACCCTGGGGTCACCTTTTCGTGTGTCGGGAGTTGGGGTGGAGACGGGGGTACTTACCAGTGCCAGACATGGGCTCTGACTAACACACATATTATGGGAAAGGTATGAGATTACTCTCTTATGACCCCGGCTAGTAAATTGGCTACCAGCTCCATCTGCTGAGCTGAGCCATACAACATGTTCCTCACAAGGGGTTCTCCAACCGCCATGGCTTCCCCCGGGAATCTAGTGAGGGACATTCGGTCAACAGGTGCACTAGTGTCTCTGGGACCAGGCTGCAATGCCGGCAGGTATGATCCTTGTTGTTGTCCAGCCGCCAGAAGTATGGGGCAATGCTGGGTGCGCATTTGCGTCACTATATGCCCTGCTGTCTGTGGGTCTTGTTTGCTAGGAGTTGGCAAATTTGATAAGACGCCTTTGGCGGTCGTATTGCCTGCCTATTGCCTGTACCACTTCGTCCTGAAGTGGTCCGCCAGCCAGTTTGTTATTCTCAAATAAGTTATTGCTACTTCTGGATGAGGCTGGGCAGCCCCGGGTTTCGCCAGTGTCCGCTTTCTCATTGCCACTAACTATGACGTGACCTGGGATCCATTGCACTGTGACCTTGCCTCCTAGTTCACTGATTTTGCACACGTCATCAATGATGACGTGTAACTAAGTGAGTGGTACCTGGTCTCTTTCCCAAGGTCTCTAGAGCAGATCTTGAGTACACGATCACATCGAGCCACGCAAGCCCCGTCTCTTTTTGGGCTCTGACTAAAACTCTCGAGAAAAATATCTTCACCTGTGAATGATAGGGTGATTATGGCGAGCAGATGGCAAAACGAGAAGGGACCACATTCCGAACCGAGAAATGAGAAAGATGGTTGATGACATAGGCCTACCAATCAGAAAGTAAATGGGGTTAAGGCTTGTTCACCATGGACGTGCACAAAATACACATTTGTTCCACCCCTCCTTGTCCGCACTTGTCAGCATGTGGTTTACCCCCTCCCCCCGGTGGGTTGCGCGCGTCCACGGGCGCATGCGGAAATTTACGGGTACTTGATGCTAGGAAGTGTAATAGTAATTATAACATGCACAGAGTTACTAGATTTAAACTTCTAAATGAAGTCTTTGAAATAGGCCCAGCAATTGTTTACTGCGAGTGAGGGGTTTTGATGTTTTTGTATAGTGTTTACAGGCAGGGCCGCCTTAAGAACATAAGGGGCCCTGGGCACAGCAATGCACTGGGGCCCCAGCAACACAACAGGGTCATGAGAAGGGGGGGGGCGAAGGGGGCCACTCGGCCCATTCTCAAACAGTGGGGGGGGGGGCGCAAACAGTTGTTGCTCCCAACCCAACTCAACGCAACAAGAGGAATAAAATTGTAAAATAAGAACAAACATTCAATAAAGTTAAAAACAGGTTAAGTCAACTTGTTGATACGAAAACAAAATCATTCCAATTCAATAATAAGGAAATTAACTCGATAAAACGTTCCACGGTTGTTTCATCCTCGAATGTACCGGACCGTAAATGTCAGTTAATAAATGTGTAACATGTCTGAAGTGGAATCTACACTTATTGAATAATACTTTTACTACTTTTTAATAAAGGATCTAAACACCTATTATAGATTCTTTGAGTCGAAGCAAATCTGCAGTAATATCCTTGCGAAGTTTTACGCCATTTTCTTGCTCTACAATAAGATTGTTATATTTCCAGTCATTGAATCCTGATATAGCAAAGGGAGATGCTTTCTTGGACACTAGACGAAACGCAAAACAATATAAACAACCCTGGTATTGTGATCAGAGAAGCCATTCGCGTTTTACACACTCGCCATTCCGCAGTTCACGTTTGAACATATTTATTGATAAACACCTTGTCCGAGTTCTTTCTTCTCCATCTCTGCCTGAGTTTGAAAGGTTGCAGACATGATTCAATGATGGCCCACTGCGAATCCAGTACTCAACTGTACAAGTGTTCTTTATATTTCATAGCCCGGGATCTGTGTCTTGAATCACACTATCGTTTCCCGACACAGTTTTGTGTGTTTAAACTTTTACAATTACCCCAGCAGAGGAAATAAGTAATGGTATTGTCTGGAACCAGACACCTGGTACCAATAGAGGATGTTGATGACGCTACTTTATTTGAGGAGCAGTACGATTAACTGATATTTCGATTGATTTAACCAAGATGTTAATTTTTCAAGTTTACCCGTTTTCCTTGTCTCATCAGCTCATTTTCTCTTTTGTGCTCCAATTATAAAACTAATTTGTTATTCCCGCCAAAGAAGTTACACAACTAGAAATATATTCATTAGTTACAGGTATTTATTTAGTAATAGCAGCAATCCGTTTAAAAGATACAGGTAATTATTTATAAAAATGGATCTGTCTGTCCCTTCAAACTGACACGTGCCCCGCTTAAAACAAACATTGGGTAATGATCAATAGCCATGGTGCCGTCATGGGCGCCCGCAGGCGGGGGCAAGGGGGGACACTTGCCCCCCAACCCCCTGGATTGATTGGATAAAAAATTTTTAGACAAAAATAGACAAAAAATGTATTAAAGTAAAGAGAAAATAAAGAGAAAGTAACTAAGCTGATGTACTCTCCGTTCGTTCACCATACAAATACGCTACAGTAAATTAAAACTACATTAAAACATTACTAAAAAAATTTTTGCCCCCCCCCCCGGAAAGTTAATCGATTTTTTGCCCCCCCCCCTAGAAAGTTTTCTGCGTGCGATACAGTAAATTAAAACTACATTAAAACATTACTAAAAAAATTTTTGCCCCCCCCCCGGAAAGTTAATCGATTTTTTGCCCCCCCCCCTAGAAAGTTTTCTGCGTGCGCCCATGGGTGCCATTAATAAAATCGATCTCTGTGTTTGAGCTACTCGGTATGTAAGATGAACATGACTTTGAGCTTTAAACGGTCAGCATAAATTATATCTAAATGCCAATATAATATATATTTCTGCCTACAGCTCAGACATACGGTGACTGTTGGGTTCTATTTATTATCTAAATATGTTTTTTCAGACACAGAATACAAAATATTTTTCTGTTTAAAAAATATAAAGTTATCTGATGATTGTTTTATTATTTAAAAAAAAAATTTTTGGTTAAAAAAAAATTAATTTACTTTTAAAAAGAATTATTTATTGCTGATCTACAAATTCCTTATTTAATGCTAATTAAATGCAGTAGTACTTTAACTGGTACTAGGTTAGAATTTTCTCCACTAATTTCACGTCTTAGCAGTGGCGTATCTAGGGTTATTACCTCCCGGGGCCAACATCTTTGTCTAGCATGATTGTAAATAAATACTCTTACTCTATTATTTTTCGATTCATATCTGGTGAGCAGAAAAAAATTGTTGACGAGAGTTATTCCCCTTTAAAGGTTTAAAAAGTATTCAACTTGTGATTCGCATTTATAATATTAATTTTGGAACGTGCCGATAATATCGTAAGTTAAAATTGAGAAACGTGCTGTCCACTGCCTTTAAATCAAATTTAACTGCCAAATCTTTTCAATATTCATTCATTTACAAATTTGCAACAGGATGCCTCTATAAGTGTGAGACAGATACGTAGGGCAAGGGGGTGGTGGTCCTTCACTAAGTACGTACATTTAATAAAGATCCTGAAATTCTGACACACTCTAATATCTCTCATAAAGCCAGCTGACACCTACAAATCTGTGAAATTGACGATAGTTAATAATTTTTTTAAGTCTTAAAATAAACCATCGCAAATATTTGTTTCCGTCCTCAAAACTGTTGCTTTGTGTTAACACTCACTAAATTTTAATATCACAACAATAATAACTCTTCGTACGCGAATCTGTTGCTATGACGTATTTTGTGACGTGATTATTTTCGCGGGGCTCAAACAAAAACATCAGCACTGGCGGAAAGAAAATTGCTGTCTCCACAACACAACTTTGATCATGCTAACGACAGTGCTTCCTAACCTTTTTATAACCCCCCCCCCTCCAACTAAAATGTTTAAGTTCTTTCACCCTTCCTCAACAGTTGGCAGGGGGTGGGGAGTTGCCATTTCAGGCCTTAAGATTCACAATAATTTTAAGATAAAACCAACGAAAATAAGTCAAGTTTATTCTTATTGCACCATATGAAAAAAAATTAAGATGGTTAACTTTTTCTTTAAACATCATGTTTTAACATTACAACCCCCCCCCCCCCCCGCCCCCCCC